TAACTAGAGCCCAGATGTTGTGCGAATGTCGATTGTTTCGCTAATTCAACTGTTTAGTTTCACAACTAAAAATTGAGAAGTGTGCGCACCTCTATATAATCTCATAGAAATAAAAGCGCGACTTAACAGTTGTGCGATAGTTTCGTCGAAAGTGTGTGCGCGCTCTAATAAATCGCTAGGTGTGAATACGTTCAGCCTCATTATAACCGTCTAAATATAATGCGGATAACAATGGCAGTGTCGTGGTCAAGACTCAAGATCTGTAGTGACGCGCGTTGCGGTCACGCGCTTGCCTCCAACTCCACTATAAATAGATTAAACACGGCATATTTACCGAACTATATCTCGTAATAATTAATTAAATTACAACCTGTCAACGAATTACACGTGTAAATATGATTAATCTAACCATAGACTTCCACGGCAGAAACATTTATGTAAAAAATGTCGTTTCTCTCACTCCCTAAATAAACCGGAATAACAATACATTGGTTGATTCAAAAAAACCACGGTAATACCTCTAAATACACTTGCACATTTATGTTTTTAATATTTTTTTCCAGAACATATTAGAACATTTAGTCGCATTCCGTATGTGAAATAAATATGTACATAGACACATATGTATTGTTCTATACGAGTATATAGCGCTCTCTTTTGTAATTGTACATTCCCAAAGCTCCCTCGCAACACGACCTTACCTTACAGACCCGGAATGCGGGTCATGTTATTTTCGTTCAGGGAAGAATAATATAGACAGATATTCTATAAATGCTATAGTACATACATACAATATGAAAAAGAAAGTGTAAATTAGAATTCATTAATTTTTTAATTCACGAAATAAACTGTTTTAACAATAACCTTTGGTTCTATGGACTTTTGATTAATTTTTCCATGGAAATAGAAATAATTTTATTGAAAAACAAGAAATTAACAATTACAATTACAGTGATACCAACTAAATGACTAGATAATTACAATTTGTGGTTAATATACCTTAATTTATTAATTTATTAATTTATCAATAATCATTATTAATTCCGTGTTACTACTTTATTAACAAGATTTAATATGCTAAAACTTATTTTAATCGAATCATGTTTAAAGAGAAATATTACCCTTATATGCTAAAGTTTTTCTCCAAATGTAGGTCATCATTAGTATACAAGCTTTCTTAAAATAGATGCAAATGAATAGCATCATAATATCAAATACGGTATATTCCTCATGGGGATAAACGTTTGTTATACACTTTGTAAGTTGTGACAAGGGTCGACAAGGGGAATAAAGAGTATTGCTACAATATCACAGAGAAATCACGCTGCAATTGTTAAAGGCTAATTTCAAAGATTGTTTTTTTTTTCTATCTAACAAAAGGGGCAAACAAGCGGCGAGAACACCAAGGTGGACAAGGACGCCCATGGACATCCACAACACCAGAGGAACCACATATGCCTTGCCGGCCTTTGAGGCAATGATAGGCTCGCTTCTTGAAGGACCCTAAGTCGTATTGGTTTGGAAATACCGACGAGGACAGACCGTTTAATACTCTTTAATGTTACACTTTGAAAATAGTCAGAATAGAACATTAAACCATACAAAAAAAAGCCAAAAACGTCCTGTCAATAGGTTAAAATAATCCCAGACAATGCTAGTAAGATTTATCTAGTAGTATTCTTAAGCTATAGATGAAATTGATTGTGAATTTTTTATGATATATTTATAGCCAATAAAATATCTGAAGAGTACTTACCAAGTAGAGCCTGAAATAGCCTCGACTTGAAGATTCTTATGACTCTCTCGATAGCGAGCCTGAGTTGACGATCTTGAGGCTTCACTAATTTGCTGTGGTAGTCTTCCAGCAGTTCCAATGCTCGGTGGGCCTCTGTAAAAAAGACGCTTATAAAACACAAATAGGTAGAAAAAATAATAATAAAGTAAAGTTTGTAATGAAATCGTTGTAAAGTTTTACTTTCATAAGACACTACCCAGCATATGAATATTTACTTTTAACAAGTTTCATATTCATAGGTGTATTTTAATATTTTATTTACGAAATGTAAAGAAAATTCTTAAGTGCATTCATAGATTAAGTAGGTAACTATTATACCTAATAACGACAACAATATTTGTCATTTGATTTTAAAATCGTCCTGAAATCTTCAGAGAGCTAACCCGCGTTTTGAGTAGTACTTTAAAACCGCCTGTGGAGCAAAAATCTACAAAGGTTCTTTGTCTTAAAGCTCCATTACTTAGACTAAGTGTACGATAGAAGTTGGAACTATTTGAAAATTTCTTGATTAAACTTATCGTTTCTTTGAAATCTCGTAATTTAAGTTTTAACGACGTCGTTTTACAGTTTAAAGATTTTTTGGGATTCCAGATAATTTATACGATTAAACTATATTCAGTGTTAGATAGCCTCAGATAGCAGTTTAAGTGTGTTGTTGTTCACGGTAGGTATTATTACGATTATCTTCGATGTAGCTTATCTGCAATCTGTCGCCTTTTAGTTAAGAAGTTATAAAATTGCTGTGCAAAAATTTTAGGCGAAAATTTTTAATTTAGTTTAGTATCGACATCGTGAAAATGAAAACAAAAGACGAAACAAACAAAAGAGGTTGCAGCCTTGAAAATTAAGTATATTTAATTACTTAAGTTTTGCGAATTTCTTTACTTTAGTCTTAAGTTTTATTAAAGTAGTCGCAGTTAAGATGTCCTTTTTAAAAACTAATCAAAATGACAAAAATAAAAAACTGAAATATTACAATTGAAATTTTTATTTACTTAATTCTCCTCTTTATTGATGTGTAAAGTACGAGTTTTGCAACAAAGTAACTTATAACGTAAGTAAAGAAAACAGTAGTATGCATTTCTTCGAAGGTACGTACAGCTGTAGAAAACATTTGGGGCAACGCGGGATTACAAAAGCCCAGATTTATTATCGCATATGTCTTACCTAGTTTCTATTCTTTATATGGAAAATGAAATTTACATTTTATCATGATTTACTTATCAACGAAATGGACATCGATATTTTAAAACGTTCTGATTGAAATATAATGTTGCTATATTTTGACACCAGTTTTTGTAACTGTCGTATATCCCACCATATGTAACAGTGAGTTTCCACGGCCACATTTTATAAATTACGTTATTGTTTTAATGTTTCGGCAATGCAAGCCTACGGTTAGTGATAGTAAGTTGATTACAATGAATAAGAGAAGTCTTTTCATCTTGTGTACGAGGTCTCTACGTGCCTCCTTCAGTTGTCTTCCATCTGTTTTACATTGATATTTATTACATTTTAAAAAATGTTCAAAGTTAATTGTGCTTCTTGTGATAATTCAAGGCCAGTGTAGTTCTCAAAGCAGATAACAAAGAAGGATTATATGAAGTCGGTATTGCAAATCAAAGAGAAGCCGTAACAACGCTAGAGGGTCGGCAGCGAATAGTGTATGCTAGCCTCATTTGTTCATGGTCAGCCTATCTGGACCACAAAATATTTGTCTACATTCGCAAAAAAATTTAGGCAATAAAAAACAAAAAGGAATAAAGAACGGTGAACATGTAACCGATTATTTTTAATTAAATTTAATGGGCGTATTTTATGATGCAATACTAATAATTAAATAATAAACAAGACGTATTTTCCTAATAAAGTTTTAAAAAAATCTAATTAGAAAATTCTAATCTTAAATTCGATTGATTTTGTCAACCCTTGCCATAACTAGGGTGAAAATGAGAACTACTGTGTCGTAACCGCTAATTTAATGAAACAGCCATGCAGTAATAATACAATAATAAATTAACAATAAAATAGTATGAATGAATTGCAATAATTAGCAGAATGTAATTCACCTTGCTTGCGAACTGGCATCACGGTACCTCCCCCTTATATTGTTTTGTAACACTAATAACGTATACTGATAAAAACAAAATGAAACACTAGTTTAACAGCCAACAACGTTATAATTATTTCATTTTTTAACCATTTCAATCACAATTAATGTCATTTTTGAGCAATAAACCAAAGTCGCACAACGAAAAACATTAAATACTGCACAAAATAATATGCGACACTGATATTGCTGTGAGGGTCATCGAATACTGTGCCAGATGGGATTGGTCGATTTTCACAATGACGTCAGGGGGTGGTTCCATAGATAATGTAGAACCCCAGGGGTAGTTTCTCTATGTATCGAGAGACATCGCATTTTATTCTTACATTAATGCTTTTTATTCTTTTGAAATTTCACAACGAAACATATTAGCCATAGTTATAATTTAATAATAGGTAAGTACAGACTTAATACTGAATTTAAATAAAAATTAGTATTTGCTTCGATGTTAATTTATTTATTACGGCTAAAATATTTCATTCACATCAAAAACTATTAACAACCTCTAACAAGAAAAGACGGTTGTTATCGGTAACTAGTAGAGATAATTAACACTGTATTACTCGTGCACTATAACATGATACCTCAGTATTTGCCCAGTACGAAGACGTCACAGCGGCATTATTGTGCATTATACAAATACTACTCAATAACCGAAAGTTATAAACCAGGTGTTAAAAGACGCGAGAACACAAATGTACAAGAAAAGATTTTCAGTTTAATTTGACATTTATTTACTATGTTTCATTAGTATTTAAAACATTGTTTCTTTTTTTGAACCAATATCGATTATTTAGTTCGATACATTGTGATATCGATTATCATCAATGTATAATCTCTAACAAAAATTGATTTACAATTACAAAAGTAAAAAAGAACCTGAACAGTAAAATATTTATATATCTTAATCTGTTTTAATGTGTTATGTTTTTAATCCCCTTTTTATTTAAAATCTTTCATTTTGTTTTGACTTTCTGTGTGATATGTAATTTCCGGTTTCATTACCTACTCTTTGCTATTTGAATCGAATTGCAATCAAAATTATCGATACTTCATTCATCTCGATTCTTATAGCAATCAAATTGACATTTTACATCGTATCGTGCCGTGTGTACTAAACTTTATCTTAGGACTTGGGTGTGCTGTGTGGAATGTGAACTCTGACTTGATTATGTGTGAACCTTTATCGATATAGCTACGTAGTCGTATAGATATTAGTTCAAAATCAAATTCAATCTGTGAGGTGCGAGGCTTAAATATGCCTCTTTTTGGTAAAAAAGATTTTGGTAGAAAATCAAAAAAAGATGGTCGTGAAAACGAAAAGCAGCCATCCATTGAAGATAAATATGTAGTTAAGGATCTTTTGGGCACAGGTGCCTTTTCTGAAGTACGCTTAATAGAGAGCAAAGAAAATGGACAGATGTTCGCGTGTAAAATTATAGACAAAAAGGCTTTAAAGGGAAAAGAAGATTCCTTGGAGAATGAGATACGTGTTCTGAAAAGATTTAGCGAACAATCGAAAGTTGAAGGCGGAGAGAAAAAGATGTTTTCTCATCCCAACATTGTCCAGCTGTTAGAGACGTATGAGGACAAGAATAAAGTTTATTTGGTCATGGAGCTGGTAACCGGCGGAGAATTGTTTGATAGAATCGTAGAAAAAGGTTCGTACACCGAAAAAGATGCTTCCAATCTTATAAGACAAGTTTTGGAGGCCGTCGATTATATGCATTCCCAAGGAGTCGTCCATAGAGATCTAAAGCCAGAGAATCTTCTGTATTATAGTGCTGACGAAGAAAGTAAAATCATGATAAGTGATTTTGGATTGTCAAAAATTGAGGATTCAGGAGTAATGGCTACTGCATGTGGGACTCCGGGATATGTAGCACCGGAGGTGTTAGCACAGAAGCCATATGGTAAAGCGGTTGATGTATGGAGTATAGGAGTAATATCATACATATTGCTTTGTGGATACCCTCCATTTTATGATGAAAATGATGCGAACTTGTTTGCTCAGATATTGAAAGGTGATTTTGAGTTTGATTCACCTTACTGGGATGATATAAGTGAATCTGCTAAAGACTTCATTAGGCATTTGATGTGTGTGGATGTTGAGAAAAGATACACTTGCAAGTGAGTATCTGTTAATCTTTTTTATTATAAATTGATCGTTTTTACACTTGCTAAGCATGTTTTTACATACAAAATTCATAAATAGAACTGAACCTACTTATATCAACCATATACTAAATAAATTTCAAAGATGATTTAAATAAATTAAGGAATAATTATAAATCTTACAACTTTGTCTTTATTGAAAGTGCAAACCTAGATGTGTAAGAAATATAAATAGGTTTATTAATATTCTAAGGTAAAGAAGCCTACAACAAATAATACTGGCAACTGAACTTTTTAGTGAGAAGTAAATAAGATTAGGCTATAAATAAATGTGATCTAATACATGGATAAAAATATTACTTATATTGCCTTGAAATGTATTCTGGTTTTCAATGATAAGTATAACATAGAAATATTTTATTGAGATGTTAATCTGTGTGTTTTTTTAAATCTAGTTTATTTGTGTTGCTTTACATTATTAATGTAAGGTAAACAGCCCTAAAACAGATGTTCAAGAAGAATGATTTAGTTATACTGTGTAGCAATTATTTTAACTGAAGAAAATTTTTAGGGTATTGCTTTATCTTCCTACAAATCTTTTAGGGTAACTAAACTCTAATAAATTGTCTAAACCATATTTAAAGATAACTTTATGAACTATATTATGAGACTGGCTTACCAAGTTAATAGGATGCTTTCTTATAATAAAAAAAAAGAATGATAGGCTACATTTATTGATTAATAACTTTTGCTCCTGCTTTCTTACAGGCAAGCGTTGGCTCACCCATGGATCTCTGGCAACGCTGCCAGTAACAAGAACATCCATGGCACTGTATCTGAACAACTCAAGAAGAACTTTGCCAAGTCTCGTTGGAAACAAGCGTATCATGCGACAACAGTCATCAGACAGATGCAGAAGATGATCCTCAGTAGCAGCAGCTCAAGTCGCAATGCCAACCAACAGCCCAAACAATAGCTGACTTATCGCAACATGGAAATGGATGAAATGAATATTTGCTTGGAAACCAGCTTGGTAATGTACTTAAAATGTCTTTATTTCTTATACATGACACAAATTTACTATAACTTTCGACTTTGCGCGTTCGCTGGATATTTAATTGGCTGATTTACTTTAATTGAAGCTCATTGCTGCTGAAGTGCTGGCTTTAAAATTGTGTCATTGCCTTGTATCATGACATGATTTGTATATTGTTATGAAAAAAATATTTTAAGCATACATAGTAGGTATTGAATTCAACGAAGATTTTGTCAGATAAGGCTAGTCACATAATGACCTTCAATTAGACTTCAAATGAAAAAATCTTCACATAGAATATTGTCTTCAAATTGCTCCAATATCTGTTTTCCTTATGTATAATCAATGCCGTTCGGTTGATAAAGGTCTAAGTGAGATAAACTATGACTTCAATGATTCTAATATAACTTGTTTGTTATACAGAGTAGCAATTGACTATTGAAAAGAAAATTGAACGACAATTTTTCTTGTATCTATATTTTTTTCATTACTCGGAATCTCATTTTTTTCTATATCTCAAATATCTGAGTAAAAGCAGTGTCATGACATTGTATGTTTATCTTTAATAATTATATGATATAAACCCCATTATTAATATCTTAAGCATTGATAGATTGTTAAAAAATTCAGTCTTATTAATAATACTATTGTGTAGTACAGTGATTCTCAACTGTGCCGCGGGACTTTTGTGTGCCCCTAAATTTTGCATATTTTTCTCATAAACTATTCACGCATTTTTATCTTTTTCTTTGTGTGCCACCATATTTTGAATTTGTTAAATATGTACCGCAACCGAAAAAAGGTTGAGAATCACTGGTGTATTTTAACAAGGGTTGATACATGACATAAAGATCTGCATTTTAATAAATGATATAACTATTAATAACTAATAAGTTAATGGCTTATTAGGAATGTGATGAGTAGTGTACATGTTTAATGGGAAACTAATAAACTATTTTCTATATTAACTTTGAACATTTTAAATACAAGTCAAATTATTACTGCAATATCTTTAACAGAATATAATTTCAATATTTCCATACATAAATCAGTGTTGTGGATGGCTAACATCTTTGTATGGATAAAAACTAATGCTTGCATTGTTATGATGATGTTTAATAAATTAGTATAACTTCCTGTCTATTCTATGTATATTATATACTATTTGAGTATAATCTTCATTAATATATAAGGGTTTAAAGTTTTATGCAAAATATGCTATATTTAACTTAAGATTAAAAGGAAAAATTATATAACTATAGGCTAAAATATATACTGCATAGTTTTAATGCTGATTCCTTCCTATCTTTAAATATTATCTTCTATTTCAAAGCAATTACAGAAAACTATATCACGTTTTAATTATCAGATAGCACTTGGATAACTAAATCAATATTAATGTAGTCATAAAATATTTTTGTGGGCCTACTAAATTATTTCAATGAAATATACATTGAAAAAAGCTAACTTGATATAAATACGAATTAAGATACAGCCTTACAAATAAGCGTAAAGTTAAACTTATGAATAAACTGAGTATAAGCAAATATTAGTACAAATTTTGCTAATACTCAGTTTATTCCTGGCTGTTAATCTTAACGCTGGCAGTTGAATATAGTTTGACCAGAGCAAGACAGTAAGAATTGATACTCATTACATAAAAAGATTTTTTAAGTTTAGAAATAACAGCATGCCATTATGTGACGTCATAATGTATTTATTTGTTTTCCAATACTTTAACAGTAATAATATTTGTTAACAAGGGATTTTCAAAAATAGTATTGCTTAAACATGACAACTTAAAATACTGCGTCTTTTTTAACATGTACATTGTACTAATTTTTAAAAGTACCCAATTTAAATAACTTAACCTCTAATACCATTTAAATTATGCAATTATTGTGATAAATTATTATTTAACATTCCACTTTTGAGTAATGTAGGCTATCGGAATTGTATTTTGACTGTTTAATAACATTTGAAAATTGAATTAAAAGATAATGCATTTATTCATCAATTCGTTACCATTGTTGTCTCAATGAATTGATCACAGATTCCATAACAAAAGAACATTCCACAAACCAGATGTATCAACATTTATGTAATATGTTTATATTAAAAAATATTTTCCGTCCATCTCACAGCCATCAGTTAAAGGGTACATAATGACGCAGTATAAAATTCGACCTTGAATTTAAAATTGTATTATATATTTTATCAAATTATGTATTAGTATGTATGTATTTCACATTTATTTTATTTACAAAATATCAGAAACCACATCAAGAATATATATAAAGATCTGAAAATGATATGAGTATGACTAAAATTCAAATTGTATTTTATGGTTTTATTTAAACCAATCCAAGTAATGTGTAGTTGCATGTACTATGAAAAAAATCTTAATATTTCTCTAGTCTTTTTTTATTTCTCGTAGTTTTTTTCAGTTTTTCTTATCACATTTATTATATTTTATTGATATTCAAATGATAATCAAAATTGAATTATTTACAAAAATATTGTATAAAAATTTTAAATTTAATGATTTTTTTTACACAACCATTTTTATGTATATTAATTTAATTCTTAAAATGAAAATTAATTATGTAACATTCCATGTGTATTTTATGTTTATATTTGAAATTAAATTTTGACTTATTCTCATTTTCTAAAGATCTGTGTTAAGAGTAATCTGATTTTTTTTAAATTCTAGGTAGAACCTATGTTATTTTTTATTGACTTCCAATTTTAATTATAAATATGACGTAGTTTAAATATCAATAGTGCTAAAGTGAAAACAAAACTTTCGCCCCTATTTTGAAACTCATCGATTTTTCCATTGATTTTTAAATCCATTTTTTTTGAAACAGACTAATATAAAAGCTTCCGAATCAATGAAAATGTTTATTAAAGCACTTTCAAATATTATTATATTATAAGTGCATGTTCAAAAAGCAATAGTTATCAGAAATTCATATAGATGGATTTGCAAACTTGCAATATGAATTTATATTTCATACAATCACATATTGCATTATCATTTTTTTTGTTTAAATTGTTTATTTTTTAATGTAATATGACTATAAAAGTTATATGTTAAAGTTCTTATCTTTTAAACAATGTTTAATTTCATTACTTTAAATCTATTGACAAATTTATACTTATCTAGATTAAGTTATTGTTAAGAAAATCTTTGCCAACTCTGACTTGACTGTGCCATTGGACATAAATCATGGATTTCCCTGTGTATCTGGTCTGCTTTTTGTGTATGTTCTAGGTACTTAACATGATTTTAATTTAAGTGGCTTCATATTCAAGTAGTTACAAAAAAATTTAAAAAAAATCGCATATTATAGTTTGCTTTTAAATTTATAACTTGTAATTGGTTATTGGGAAAAATTACTATAATGGGCGTCAGTGAGAGACAAGAGGGGGAAACATGTCCTGCCGTAGTTAGTAGAAAAATGTAAGGTTAAAAAATCAATTTGAAATTAAACGACATATGTTGAAACTGACTCATAAGGGTCTAGGTTAGGTATAGATCTAGCCTAGATCATCGGCTGGCGACGCCCATTCCAAAATTTGTTATAATCATAAAGTTTTCGCACAATTGATGTAATAAATTCTATATTTTTAATGTGATATATTCAATGTATGTTAAAATGCTATTGAAAATGTGCTTGATATGAGGTTGATTGGCCGACCTAATTGTTGCCATATTATCTAATAATGATAAAAATATATTTAAGAAATATGTATTCCCTTACTTAATAATTACAATAACATTGTTATTAACAATTTTAATATTGGCAGTCAGTCAACAAACTGTCTCTCTTACTCAAGTTACTTAATATTAATCTTTATAATACAGGTTTTTTATTTTCTAAGATGCTGAGAGTTTTTTTATTCCTGATTTTAAAGAGTAAAAATATCTAATACTTTTGGTGATCGGGTTGAGCTCAAAGGAGTGTGATAAAGAGAAATTAATTGTTAAGGGATAATGTGATTCAGATATTTATGCCCTTTGTCAAAAATTTAATTAAGGACAGGTCTATTTAATGTAGAGTCCTGACAGCTCCACAGAAATTTTGAATAAAACATTTTTAACATCCAATATACTTGAAAAAAACATAAAAATAAATGTTATAAGTTCGATATTATTTAAAAGAATATGATAAAAGAGAAAGATTTTGAATAATTGATAACTATTAATAATTTTTGACATTATTAAATGAACGAAAGAGGTTTTTCGAAGCAAAAATAATTTTTATTATTCCAATTAATAAGAGTACGGTTCGGGAAGATTTCAAACAGTTTTAGAGTTAGCTTTTGCTTAATGTTAGTACTTACACATTCATGCTTGCTCTCTTACACTTAACCCTTTAAGCGCCCGCGATCGGTTCACCATTGTGCCAAACCATATCATGATCGGTGATAAAATGTTGACATTTATCTTAAGATTCTCGTACATTAAGTATGTTTTATCTTTCTACTAATAGCGAGTATCTTTGTGCAGTGCTAAGCTACAGTGGAAGTTCCTTGTCAGTTCTGGTATAAAGCGTGTGCAATAACATGAGTCTCAAGTAATGTCTCCGCTTCTCACATCTCTACCACTAGCGACTAAGCTTTGCTATATCGTTATCCTACGATTGTTCTAAGGCTTTTGTGCACTCTATGACGTCATCGGATTCGTGTCTCATGTTATTGTGCACGTGTAGCAGTGTTTTTCAATTATATCTTTAGAGTACACTTAATATAGTAACTATTTTTCGATGGTTATTTAGTATGTGTTCGAAACAGAAAACTTTAGTTTATAACTGAGCACAATAGTTTAAGAGATGTTTAGATTTTTATCGTGGATTTCGTTTTAATAATTTGATACTATCAGTTTCTGAATGTTTTTATTTTCGTGTTGTAAATTGGGTTTTCTGTACGTATTCCGACATATTTGGTGACTCGACGGGAACTATTCGGACGGGTTTAAGATCTGAATGATACTGAAATAATCTTGTGATCTAGATTTTATACTTCTTGTTCTAAACAATCAAAATTTATTAGTAGATATTAGATGTTAGCTCTATTTTCAATGTCATTGTAAATAAAATGCCAACTTGTTGATGAAATTTGTTTTAATTTTATATTACCCTATATTTTATAAATGTGTTTAGATTTTTAGATGGATTGATGGATGTTTACAGTTTAAAGCCTAAACTGCTGAACGGACCTCGATGAAAATTGGCATGGATTTAGAGTATAGACTGGAAGAACACATGGGCTACATGCTTTTGTATTTTTTTTAATTCCACGCGGATGGAGTCGCGGGCGAAAGCTAGTAAAAACATAAAACGAGGTTCCTGTAAATATTTATTTAAATAAAACGCATAATTGAGATTATACATATATTAAATTATATTACAATTAAATAACCGATACACCAGGAATGTTCAAAGTTCACGTCTGTATCTCCTCGCCCAAGAGAGACAGCTGCTTCAGGAATTGAGACGCGTTCGGCAACGTCGTGGCTCCGTATATCAACTTTCTTGGTGTGCCGCTTGTCGCTTGTTGCTGTTGAAAGAAAAATACACATTATATTCAACAAAAAACTAACAATGTATTGTCATGTTAACAAATACAATGACACTGACTTGCTTGGCGAGTTCTCTATGGATAAGTAATTAAGTGGTGAATAAATACTATCCCTACCGCATACTAAACCGCTGTACACACTTGGCCAGTACAGTTGGATATTAACGTAACAAGGTATGTATTATATGGACTTATTAGTGTGAGTATTCACAAGCCAGTCCAGTAAACTAACAATATTGATCAATGGTATTGGCCAAGTGTTAACCGCGCATATAGCAAGCAGAGGTGTATCAGGACATATTGAAATGTATGCGTAAGAGGTAAGAAACTAGACTACTACTAAAAATTTATATCTTACTAATCACATAAATACAAAAGTTTAGAGATAGATGTTTGTAACTTTAACTGCTCAACGGATTTTGATGAGATTTGGCTAAAATGTAGAGGATATTCTAAAAGAATACGAAGGCTAGAAGTAAGCTTCTATTATTTATTCCTGCGGACGGAATCACGGTTGAAAGCTAGTGTTGCACAATTATTTCTCATACAGCGAATTGCAAATAGTATTAACTAGCTTTCGCCCGCGACTCCGTCCGCGTGGAATTAAAAAATCAAAAGTAAGTAGCCTATGTGTTCTTCCAGACTATTCTTTACATCCATGTCAAATTTCATCGCAATCCGTTAAGTCGTTTAGGCTACAAACTCTGACAAACATCCATCCATCTAAACTTTCGCATTAATAATATTAGTATGATAATCTTAGTTACTTTAGCGAAGTCGAGCAGATTGTGGTACTCGATGTAGTTGCCGCCGCCAACGAGGAAGACTACGGCGTCAGTGGGCGGCGGGTGGCGCGCGGCGCGCGAGCGGCCGGCGGCGTCCGTGCGCGCCGCGCGCGGGTCCAGCCACGCCAGCTCCGAGCCCTCGCCGCACAGCGCCGCCTCCACTGTGCTGCTCACTGGCAATTTCTATACACAAGATTTCATTATTGAAAATGCTAGCTGTTGCTCGCGACTTTGCCCGTGTGGAAAAAAAATAGTATAAATATAGCCTACGTTGTTCGGAGATAACACTCGAACTCGGTCCAGTAATTTTTGAGTTATTTCAATACATACAAAAAACCAGAAATACAAATCTTTCCTATTTATAAGATTAATACAGTTTTGTTAATTTACTATTATTTCTTTTACCTTTTTTGCACCAATTTTTTTTTTAAATTGCAATGTTTATACCAAAGAACAATGGCTCATAAGGTTGTGTCCACAGTGTTACTGGCAAGCTTCTATAATAACATAAACTTGTCAAACTATTATTTAATTCTGTAATCTTGAGTCCAGAAAGAAAGATTATTTTCGATGGATTCTCATGTCTAAAATTTCATGGTCTCAACGAGTAAACTCACATGCTTCTTGACAACCAGGTTCTTGACGCCCTCCATCACGAAGGAGGATCCCTGCGACACCAGCTTGGAGAACATGGACACCGTCTTAGTGCCGCCGCCCTCGTACTGACTTGACATCTTTGTGAAACCTCTGCACACAATAACATCTCGATTTAACTAAACATATTTATTTATATTTATGTAACGATACCACAGGTGTTCAAAAAACCAAAATTTAAATAAAGAAATATTAACGGTAAGTTTAAGAAGACTGGAAGTTATCAAAGACTGAAGTTTTAATAATATTAAAGAAATTTTACGTTGGGATTTAACATCATTTTTGAAAAAAAAAACTATCGTAAGATTTATTCTGACCTGGTTTAAAAGCCGTTGTAATTTTATTTATTAGACTTACTTCAATCTCTTCATATAAGACATGGGCTGTATGTCGCAATTGGCCGCCAGCAGCGCCGCTTCGAACTTGTTGTAATCCTCATCAGCGACCTGCGGCGAGCACAGGTAGTAGATGATGAAGAGCCGCATCTTGTCCTCGGCGGTGCCGGCGCCCGCGTCGCTGATCAGGTCCATCACCGCCTTGCTCTCCACTGCGCTGCTCTTGCTCATTATCTTCTCCTCTAACTCGAAGAACGAATCCAAACGACGGCATTTTATCGCGTTTAGTATGGCTGCGAATAAAACGAGGGCTTTTAGCAAAGAAATTGTAACTTACTAGACTCTTTGTAAATCTATACTAATACTATAAATAAGAAAGATTTGTATTTTTGTGTTTATTGAAATAACTCTAAATTAGCTGGGCCGATTTTTTTTGTGACTGAGTTGTCATTGTTTGCCTTGAAGAGGCATTTACAGATTCACCGGGCTTGAGGCGGCCGAGCGCAGAAGGCGCTTAGCCTAAACCTCTTTTATGAGTAACTAGGCTCGAGGGCTCCCTCAGGAGCCTCGGCTCGGGCCGTTACTTCGTTATTATTACCGGATTGGAGCTGGGCCGAGTACAAAAATTCTTACACCATTAAAAACTATGTTATCCGTAAGTAACATATACTATTTACTTTTATTTTTTAATTTTACGCGGATGAAGTCGCGAGCAACAGCTAGAAGCGATATAAATTGTTAATATGTAATAAAAAAAGTTTACAATTCACAGTACATATAAATATACAACAAGTACTTATACAATGAGGTAAACCAAAAAAATAATAAATAAAGAATAGACATTCCCAGTGCTTACTGCCTTTTTATAGAACATATTAGAAAAAACAAAAAAATGAGACCCATCTGCAAGCAATACATTTCGGTTAAAAAAAGAATTATCAAAATCGGTCCACTAGTGGAGCTATGTTGTAACACACATAAAAAAAACATATAGATGAATTGAGGACCTCCTTCTTTTGGAACGTCGGTCAAAAACATAGGTGAATGCCTATTAAATATCCTACCTGTAGCAATAGTAGTATGCATATCAATGAGCCGCTTCTTCTCCATGAGTTGCGGCAGAGAGTTGACAGCGCTGGTGAGCCGCTGCGTGTTGTCAGTCACCAGGCTCAGCGCCAGGTCACTCTCCGCATCCAAACCCATTGAACTCTTCAACTTCTTTACTTCAGCCTCTGAACTCCTGGAAACAAGGTACACGGATCTAGTTATAAAGGCTTGGTTTTGTAATAATTGTTTTACAATTTACTGTAATATATTGTCTGTGAAAAATATTATAGCTTATGTGTTCATAAGTTAAGTAACTACTAGCATTCACATGGGACTCTGTGTGGAATTAATGTTTAAGTAAGTCACCTATGTCTTCTTACATAATATGTTCTATAGCTGGGCAAATGAGTTCAGGTTAGCCGTTTTGGAGATTCATAGAAATAAAGATTCATCCATACAACTTTCACTCTAATAACTAGTAAGACACTTATATTAAAAAGTGTAATCTGACAAGAATGGGGATGTTTCCTAATGTTACAAATTCAAATAAAGTTGTGTTTAACATTTTAAAGACAGTATTTTAAAACCTATAATAGCATTTAGAGACCTTACATGTTTGTCTCCATAGAAATATAAATTAAAAACGCTGCAATATTTTTTACCCTCCATTACTCTATCTCAAACACCAATCAGAGCTCGGTGACGTAACTTCTTCGCAAACAACATAGCAGTGTGACCAGCTTCAGTGAATGTCAGTGTATTTTGTAGTTATAATTTTTTTTTAACGATTATAATAATTGAGTTTGCGTGTGTTATATTATGAGGACTCCATTATTAAGTGTTTTTATATCTACGACATATTTTACGAGCAAATTTTTCGATCACTATGACGAAAAAAAATAGTAAAAGTTATTTGAATAGCTAATTCAATTTACGTCTGGTCACATTGAATGACTTTGACAGACCGCGACGCGAGGTTTGTTAGCAAAGAAGTGACGTCATGACAAGAGGCGTTTTCGCGGTCTTTCGAGAAGTTGTTTTTAGTTAAGTGTTTTTGTAATTAAATGTTGCGTATATGATTTTATTACATTTTTTTTCTTGTTTAGATATGGTTTATCTACATAATAAAAGCAATTCCAAAAATTAGGAAACATCCCCATTAATTAGTTAGTTAAACAAAATGTATTTTATCCTACAATTATTAGTTCCTATAAGACATTCTCTACATATTCTCTACAAATATTAAAGAAAACACACTTACCTATATTTATCTAAATCCTCTTGTATAGCCTCAGCTACCGTTGGGAAAGGGCTGCCTTTGTGTTCCGACCACAAAGGATCTTTGGAATCTAGGTCACATATTCGAGTTTTAGACTTTTGCCCTGGTACTGCACTTACTGAACTTTCTGGTACCACAGCCCTGTTGAAAAAATATAAAAATGATATTTAATATAGTCACATCGATAATGAGATATTTTAGAACATTTTTGGACACCCTGTTTATATGAATTATAATAATAGAATATGTTCTATCTAACCTATTCAATGATAAATCCAAGACATCATGTGCTAATGCTTGGTAGGTCCAAGTATGGTGCAAAGGTGTTGCCATATCTATATTCCTGTCCAGTAAAATGAGCATTGGCCGTGTAAAACTGAAGGAACCAGTCTGTCCAGTGTTGCCATGAAATAAATTATTTCTAGCATCCCATAAATTCTCTCTCAGCTTCTTGTCTAATTTCTTTGCTACCATTTCAGCTGCATTTGCTTTGCTGCATCTTATGATGGGGACATTACCTGTAATACAAAAGGGAGTTTTTAAGAACTCAGAGGTTTTAAAATTATTGATGCCTATATTATTTTTCTTTGAATACAGTTACAGGGACTGGGTATCCAACTCTAAAACTAGAGAATTCTGTTTACTTTGAGACACTTTTAATATAAGTGTAATAGCCAATAAAAGACAATTTAACAATAACAAGATGAGATGTTTTTAAATAGGAGTGACATACCTAAAGTGACAAATACTGAAAAAAGACTTTCTACAATATCATCCATAATTGCCTCCATTTCTGAATCCTTTGTATCTCCCTTGTTAATTGCTGGAAAATAAAATTAAAACAACTTAGATCATGTTTATATTAAAATTCATTTATAAATATAGTTATACTTACCATAATAAGACAGAGGGTCAGATTGTTGATGTTTCATAATAAATAAATCATCTTCTAAACATATGTAATTGAGATATTGATCATAAACTTTATGAATGCTCAGTGCGGCATTGGACTGTATCGCTGAAGCAGCAAGATCTTCAAGTTTCTGCCTTGTTATTGGTGATATAAAATTCAGATGATATTGATCATATGTACCATTGTCAAGATCTTGGCAAATTCGACCGAGATTTTCTTCTGACGGTGAACAGAAGTAAACAGCAGGTACTTCTGGTATGGGATCTCTATCTGAATGCAGTTGCCTGGAAATTTCAATTGTTTATTGTGAGTCAACATAACATCTTTACTTTATAACTCAGGCGAATCTAATAAAAACATTGTGTTAACTGTTAATGGTACTTACACATGCAGTGTTACTCCCAATTCCCTGAGTTCTTTTATAGAAATTAAAGGTGAAATAATATCTTGACCAACCCTATCATAAATCAATACTTTCCAACTTGGTTCTGTTGCAACGGCTTTGGTCAACGGCTGGTTCAAGTTTAGCATTTGCTTTAAAGCATCTGTGAGCAACAAATGTTTAAATTAATAAGATAATTATATTATTCACAATGTATTATCACAAAATACTGAAATTAATGTTGCATTTACTTAATTGCCGTTCTCGTAGAGTGGACATTTTGTCTAACAAAATAACCTGCTTTAAATATTAAGTCATATAATAATTTAAGACTCCATACAGCTATACATAAATATTGAAATTATGGTTTTCATTTAAAATTTTATTATTTCCACAATCACTTTATATCTGTCACTTTGACATTTAAGGCGACGTCGGCGAAAAGACACGTCGGCTTTGGTTATGGTTCGCAAACTTGGATATAAGCCTTTTGCACAATACAAAAAAACAGCTCATTAGATTTTTACAACCTTTCCTTTTTTATCAATAACGTATTAATTATATGGCAAACCGTATTAATAATGGAGTTTCGGTTATCAGGAGCATTTTATGAGACTTTCTCTAGGTGACTGTATCTATTCGTCGTCCGCCCAAACTGTCGCAGTTTTCGTATTGCATTTAGCGACAGTTTTCACAATTTAAAGCAGCACAATGTATAGCAATATTGTCATATCAATGTACAGCACAAACACAGTAAAAAGAACCTGATTGTGGTTAAATAAAAACTACGTTTCTGTAAAGATACACACACAAATAAACATAAGACCAGAGTGATTACTTGCATTCTGTTAAGTACAATGTTGTAAAGCTTAATGCTGATTGCAACTCCCTTTTGTTCAGTCAGCGCTTGCAACTAGATAGAAAAATCAGTTCAATTTCATTTGCGCTGCAATTTCTATTACTCCAGATCTTTGTTAAAGGTTCTTTTTGTAGAAATTGTTATATCCGATGATTTTAACGTAATCTGCTTAATTATAAGATAAAATTCATTATTTATTGTCATACTTCGTAAGAAACTCTGTTTGTTGTGTTTGGTTCATAGTAAACTATATACACCTGTATACAGTGTAGGTAGCTTGTTAGGATAATTTTATAGTCATTACTGATTTGATTTACTTTTTTTTTCATCCATCCAGTAAATGTCGCTGCTATATGAAGATAGATTTACAAAATCTTCTTTGAAATGTATTTACTGTTTTTTTTAAATAGGCGCCAAAATTCTAGAACCCTGCCGTCAGGACTAAGGTGGACGATTAAAAAAATAGGTAGGATTGAGGTTAATTACAGACTGAGTTAAATAACACTGTTACAAGAAAAACGTATGACAAAAAGAACATGAAATGTGACTGTAAGAAATAGTATAATATACAATGATAATAATTACAATCTAACTTAAGATTCTTCACAGTATAACTTTTTGTTCTCATCAGACATCTATTATAATAGGCAGACTCACAGTCTCTGGCGTCTAGACTTTAATTGAAAAATTCAATTTGTAGCAAAATCAAGGCTCAATTGAAATGCTGATTCAACAGTAAAAAGAACTGTGATAAAAATATCACCGTTCAATAGAAATGGAAGGAATTTTGTCAAACATCTTAGTGGTATTTATATGATATTGGGGTAAACGGAGACCAAATTCATTCAACAAAACTTTGGACACAAGAGACATAATCATAGTATATGAATCTAATAACATTTATTAAGAGAAAAACTTAAGATAGAGACTAAAATTAGTATAAACAAAAAGACTTGTTTCGTGTACCTAATAATTTTTCAACTTAGGGACAACTTAACGATGTATAGGCAAGGCAAGGTTAAATCAACTTTTGGTATCAACATCAAATTCAGAAAAAAACTGGCTTGAATGAGCGCCAGTTTACTACAAGCGTTAAGAATAGGACTTATGTTATTTTCATATTAGATAAATAAATTGTAAAGCGTATATAATGTGATAGTGTAGATACGTAAGATATGACTTGTAAAATAGATTTTTCTGAAATCAATATTTGATCTTTGAGATCGTACTGAAAATTATTATTTTGTATGAACCAATAGAAGAATAATTCGATCGCCTTCAAAACGGATTATGTTTTTCGATTACTATTGTGATCTTCAAATATGAACCAAATGGATTTGGCATTTTATTTAAAAATACCGTGTATGAGTAATAGTTTCCTATTGATTATTGAGTTCTGTCGTTAGTCGCATTTATCTGTCAGTGCAATAGAGTTCAACGGGAGAAAGCCGTTCTTAGAGGCCGGTAGGCGCGAA